ATCTAACCTCCTCTTGAAGACTCCCAGGGTAGGGGAGAGCACCACCTCCCTTGGGAGCCCGTTCCAGACCCTGGCCACTCTAACTGTGAAGAAGTTCTTCCTAATGTCCAGTCTAAATCTGCTGTCTGCTAGCTTGTGGCCATTATTTCTTGTAACCCCTGGGGGCGCCTTGGTGAATAAATACTCACCAATTCCCTTCTGTGCCCCCGTGATGAACTTATAGGCAGCCACAAGGTCGCCTCTCATCCTTCTCCTGCGGAGGCTGAATAGATCCAGTTTCTCTAGTCTCTCCTCGTAAGGCTTGGTCTGTAGGCCCTTAACCATACGAGTGGCCCTTCTCTGGACCCTCTCCAGGTTATCCGCATACCTCTTGAAGTGCGGCGCCCAGAATTGCACGCAGTACTCCAACCGCGGTCTGACCAGCGCCTGATAGAGGGGAAGTATCACCTCCTTGGACCTATTCGCCATGCATCTGCTGATGCACGATAAAGTGCCATTGGCTTTTCTGATGGCTTCGTCACACTGCCGACTCATGTTCATCTTGGAGTCCACTAGGGACTCCAAGATCCCTTTCCACTTCCGTGCCACCCAGCAGGTCATTCCCTAGGCTGTAGGTGTGCTGGACATTTTTCCTCCCTAGGTGCAGCACTTTGCATTTCTCCTTGTTGAACTGCATTCTGTTGTTTTCTGCCCACTTGTCCAACCTGTCCAGATCTGCTTGCAGCTGTTCCCGGCCCTCCGGCGTGTCCACATCTCCCCATAGCTTTGTGTCATCTGCAAACTTGGACAGAGTACATTTCACTCCCTCGTCCAAGTCACTGATGAAGACATTAAAGAGTATCGGTCCAAGGACCGAACCCTGTGGGACCCCACTTCCCACACCCTTCCATATAAAACGCTGTTACCTACAATTATCACACTACAAAAATGGAGGCATTACATCCTCCTGTGATTCCTATCCTCTTCTTGGCTTTCCAAAGCCTGTGCTTCCGAAGGAGGGCAACAGGACAAACGAGGCTGCTACTGTAACTACAATATGGTGTGGGTACCGCCAGATGAGCCAGACAATTAAAACAAGAAAACGATAACTAATATGTACAGCATAACTAACGTGAGCAGTATACTGTGTACTACTCCTGATCAAAATTAAAAATTGCCCAATGTTTAGACTCATCTTGTTTGTGAGAATTATCAACATCTAACACTATCCAGTGCTTTACGAGAAAATTAACTTGCAAGTAAACTAGATTTTTTTTAGAATAGGAGTTGCCAACATTTGCTGGCAAAGAGCCAGAGTGACCCAGTTCAGGGCTAAGCTGGGCTGGCACTAGGACCTGGCTGCATCTACCACTTCTCCCTGCCATCCTGCTGTGGCACAGGGAAAGCTCCCCCTCACCAAAGTCCTCAGTGCCCTACTGCAGTGCTGGGCGAGCAGAGCTGTTCCTCCGCCACAGCCACAGCTTCACAGGCCAGAGATCAGCAGCCCCTGTCCTAGAACATTCCACACTATGATTCATAAAGGCAGAAAATTAACAGGAAAAAAGAAGAAACAAGAAATTGATATGAAATATCAACCATCTAGGGAGGTATCCAGGTTGTAGCCATATTGGTCTAGAGGCAAAAGGAATCAAAATTTGTGGCAGAGGTGGTATCTTTTATTAGACCAACTAGATATTTGCAATAAAAAAATCTTTATTTGCAAGCTTCTGGGCACAGGCACCCTTCGCTAGGCATAGGAGATTGCAAAGATAGTAAAAGTTCTCCTAGGTAGAAATGAAAATTGATATTTCATCATTTAGGGATTTATCCAAAGGATAACAATGCCGTCCCTGCTTGGTTTCACAGTCCTCATACAATGCCACCAAGGAAAGAATATTCAAACAACTTCTGATACAACAAGGATTTATCATTGTTTCCACTGGAATTAGCAGGTAATTAAAGCACTGCCACTGAGGGACACCAGCTGGTAATTTCTAATGTGTCGCTAAATAATGTATGATACATTGTTCTGTACAGTATTTACTCAAAGCTTTCTGCACAACCCCCAAATCCTACCAGAAGAGGTCACCAGCAGTGCACAAGCATCACTTATTCCCAAGTCTTTCAGCCTCTGCTGTTTGAACACAAGAGATGAAAAGCTACCGTATTCAAGCTACTATGCAGATGAAAACGGACTGCATTAAAGTGGCGATTTAAAGAGACCACATTTAGAGAGCTGCTTATAGCTTCCTGCTCTGTGCCCCCACTGCTGAATTTGCGGCTCCTCGTCCTAATTCTCAGTTCTAATCCTCAAAGGGAATTTACAAAACACTTTTCACAGATGAACCTGTGAACTTCACTTTATCAACCTCCTGATTACAAAAAGCACAGACTAAATATAGACATTGGATTTATGACACATTATAACCTGCTTGACTTCTGACTCCCCAAATGCCTCTCCACTATTTACCTGCTACATTCATCCCCCCCCCCGCCTTCTCTCACCCACTGACTCCTCAATTTACATTTTCATTGACTACCTGTCTTGCCTGCAGATCAGCCTCTGGCCTCTTTACTATTCCTTCCATCCAGGAAGACTGCATACAAACTGCAGGTGCTTCCTCAGCCTGATGAAGAGTTTTTAAACCTGAAAGCTCACTGATAAAAATTTTTCCAACTATTTAAGTTGGTCTAATAAAAGATATCACATCCACCCAAAGAACCTTGTCTGCTGGCTCCTCACTGGCATTTTTCATGGCTTTCAGCAGCAGCCAGTAAGCGTGTGGGGGCGCAGAGCAAGGAGGGGATCGCAGCAGCAGGGACAGGGGACTGGCACAGTTTGCAAGCACTCAGCCTGCTGCCACCGCTTCGAAAGAGTGCCAGCCCCTGGGCCCAGTGATTCCCCTACAAAGCCACAGGCTGAGTTCCTGGCACAACAGGTACCGGCGGACATCCCCCCCGCTGCTCATGCTGGCAAAGAGTTAGTTACGGGAAACTCTCTCACTCACCCAGCACATCCTCAGGTTTGCTGGAGTATCGCTTGTTTATGACGGTTTCCAGAGCGTAGCTGAGATCCATGTTGTGCCTGGTGATTTCCTCAGGGGTCGCGCCGTCGGGGTACATCTGCGTCGGCACCTCCGTGAACCGAATCTCGGTGCCCGCTTTGGGCTTCATCTCGGGCAGCCGGGCCAGGCCCTCGGCATAGCTCTTGCACTCGGTGTCGTAGGGCGGCCGGTTCTGCTCAGCCCGGTCCTTGGCGTGCGTCCCCGCCAGCACCGGCAGCACCTCGGAGAAGGCGCAGACCTGGCCGCTCTCGGGCTGCAGCGTCTGCATCACCGCCTCGCTGATGCAGCTGCTGAGCGACACCCACTTCTTGAGCGTGTCGTAGGGGTAGGGGCCCAGGAACGGGTCCATCTCCAGCAGGTTGGCCCGGATCGCCTCGCTCTGCTCCGCGGGCGCCGGGCTCAGGTCGACCAGCTCCGTGGCCGGGTCCCAGCGCAGCACGCGCAGGTCGCGGCGCCGCAGGCTGAGGAAGAAGCCGGTGCGCGGCCCCGAGGCACCGGCGTCGCGGCGGTCCACGGAGCTGTAGTGGAAGAAGTGGACGCCCGGGGGGATCATCTTGATGCCGCGGAAGCG